TGTTGCGTTCAGGAAACCTGGGAGATTTAACATTACAATAATGGCAGGTTATCGAAACATAATTTAAAATGGCCACATTACATTGAATTTGATGCAATATATTAGCAAAAGTACAGGAAAAATAAATACTTTTTTTTAAATAATGCAATGAAATTATTTAGGGGGGCTAAAGGCATTCTTAGGGAGGCTGAAGCCTCCCTAAAATAGGCCTAATGACGCCCATGGTTCAAGATGGGCCAATGCTTTCTATTTTGCACCAAAAAAAAAAAAAAATCACAAAAAAAAGAAATATATGTACATATACATACTGTACATCTACTTTTGCAATTTTTTTCCCCACGTTTGTGACGCTCATTGTCCAGATGAAGAAAGGAGTCTAGGCCAGGGGCGTCAAACTCATCTCACATTGTGGGCCACATATGGCCTCCGTAGATGTCAAGTGGGCCGGACCATTAAAATTATACCATACTCTGCTATAAATAACCAAAATAATATGTCTTTACTTTGTTTTGGTCTGAAGAAGCAAAGAACATTAGGAAAATGTTGAAATTTAATGAACATATCTTTTACAAAACATTTCATGAAGCACCTTAGATTTCCTTAGACATGTGTGCCATTTACTTTTATCATTCACATACCTGTATATGCATTGCAACTGATCCCATTGATTGTAAAAGGCACAAAACTTGAACAAGTAATTGGTATTGAAAAATATAGTAATGCATTTTAAGATTAAACGAGATTTATAAAGAATGTCATTTTTAAACCATTTACACATGTGCATATAACATCTAAATTTAGTCCCTGCCAACACCTTACAAACTAAGGAGAGTGCTATTAAATGTATAAAGAATAAAGTATTCACATGTCCTTGATAGTGTCTGCTGTGTTCTGTGTTGGGTCTGTCTCAGTGACAGACTGAGACTGCCATTGTCTTCTTCTCTGATCAAAACAATGTTGTCTTCTACTCTGATCAAAACTGTGTCCTCTAGCGGATGCTCCATGAATTGCACCTTATTAAAATATTCATTCCGTTTCTTTTATGCAGTTTTTCACTTTTAAATGAACCTGCGGGCCTGATCGAACCTCCTTGGGGGCCGGTTCCGGCCCGCGGACCGTCGGTTTGACACCGTAGGTCTAGGCCTTTTTGATTCTTCTGGTTTATGAAATCTCTAAAGCTTGGAAAAGAAGACAAGACTGTTTTTGATCTGAATTTTTGTTATACTTTGCTCCTGGGGCCAGGTCATTTTGATTTTTTTTAGTGTCTTATAGCCCACGTGGCCTTGGTATACCTGTACTTCATGACACAATAATAAAAATGTCATTAATTTTTCCAAGTATCAGACAAATTTAAATATCAGTCAAAGACGACAAAAGTAAACGCAAAATGCAGTTTTTAAATTTAGATTTTTATTCTTAAGGGAGGAAAAAAAACGTGCATGGCCCTGTGTGAAAAAGTGATTGCTCCCTCAACCTAATAACTGGTTGGACCAGCCTCGGGTGCAACAACCAAAACCAAGTACTGTCTATGACTGGCAATGAGTCTTTTACATCTTTTTAGAGGTATTTTGTCCCACTTTTACTTGTAAAATTGCCTATTAAAGGTTATGCCACAGCATTTCAATCAAGTTCAAGTCTGGACTTTGACAATGCTACTCAAAAAAACATTTTTATTTAAGCTATTCAGAAGTTGATTTGCCAATGTGTTTTCATTCGTTGTTGTGATGCAGAACCCAGACGAGTTTCATCTTGACGTTACAAACCTATGGTTGAGGGCAGAATTTATGTTTCCATAAATCATAGCAAAGCCACAAGTCCTGAAGCAGAAGAGCACCCCCAGACCATCACTCTATTCCCGTCATATTTGTTTGATGTTCATTTATGAAATGCTATGTCACATTTACACTATATGCAACGACACAATGCCTTCCAAAGAGTTCCCCTTTTGTTTTGTCAGTCCACAGATTATTCTCCCAAACATACGGAGTCATCCAGGTGTTTTGCAAAAGTAAGACAAGCCTTCATGTTCTATTTCTCAGCAGTGGTTTTCATCTTGGAACTCATTTTTGCCCAAGCGCTTCCTCATTGTTGAGTCATGAACACTGACTGACCTTAACTGAGGCGGGGGAGGCCAACTGTGGATTTTGTCCTGTTCCTTTGCGACCTCCTTCCTGGATGAGTCGTCACTGTCTTCTTTTCGTGTAATTTCTGTAGGCTGGCCACTCCTAGGAAGGTTCAGCACTGTTGCATGATTTCTCAATTTGTGGATAATGGCTGTCACCATGATTCGCTGCAGTTCTAAAGGTGAAGGAATGACTTTTGTAATCCAGTGTTCAAGGCCCGTTGTACTGCCAATTTTAGATGCCTCCCTCCTCCCAACAGACCTGATTCAAATGATCCGCGCATGAGCAAGCTCCGTAGAAGGAGGCTAACAATGATACACTAGATGGTGCTATAGCTCTTCAGAACAAACAGTTCCTTGACTATTATCAGCAGCTACACGCTGAATTTTCTTTTTTTTCCCCAAATTCAACTCCCCTTTAGTACATAGAAGTGCATGTTTGAATATTGCATTGAAACTGTCATAAAAGGCTAGCGTATATAGTTATGTTGGAGAGTGGTGCGGAAATGCACTGCATGTCTGCATCTTAATGAGGATTCGAAGCAGCTCTCAGGCGTATTAGTGCAGTTCTATACCACAACTGCAATAATAAATAAATAATGACAAATGAATGCTGTATCTCATGACAGTGCCCATCACAACCGAGCATTGCAATGTTTGTCAAGGCAGCGTTTTGCTAAACGCTCTTGCATTGGATCTCAGAAGCTTTGAAAAGTGTAAAGTGGGCCTGGGAAGGGGTCTCTTTAACATAACATTCTTGTGTTGTCATATGTAAAGCAGGGATGGGTAACTTAAATGCAGGAGGGGACCACGATTTTTCATCAGTGCTACTGCCCCCCCCCCACATAGGACCACGTGCTTCCTAACCAGATGTATGACAAATATGCTATGATGAATATGCACAAAATATGTGCATATATGCAAAATGCACGATGTTAATCGATTTCATTTAGATTTTTTTTAATTTATGCATTTTTCAATGCATGTATACAAAATCCACTATCCTAACCACACAACAAATCTGAAACAAACATAGAATAACCACATACTGTATTTTTTTCCAGTGGAAAGGGGAAATAATACATTCAAGGGCGGCACAAAACTGCTGAACAACAAATCAAAATTACTGTAAGTGGAGGAACTCATTTTGTACTTTACGTCACAAAAATCAACTCATTCAAAATTTTAACATTATTCAGGTACTTTTGTTTGTCCTGCATATCATTCCAAATCCACAAAAAAATTATTAGTGCAACTCATGTTGTAATATAGGGCACTTTAAGGCCCACTCTAAGCACACATAAGCCATCTAGTGCCGATTGATAAGATTATAACTAAAAACTACAATTGACCCTGCACACTTGCAGTTCAGCACTTGTGGATTTGCAAAATTGCAGATTTTTTTTTTCCCCCCTGATTTTTGAAACAACAAATTAAGGGGCCACTCAGACTGTGGGTGGGGGCCACCAGTTGCCCATTCCTGATATAAATTAATCTACTCTACGAGCAAGCAGAAAGCAAAATGAATGCACTTTTTCAATGTAACCCTGCAACTAGGTGCACCGTAGATAAAGCAAGTGGGGTGAATGTGTACGATCTGTGGTATATGCCCCCATCTCTTCTTCAAGTACGCATTTCTGCATGGACAAGAAGGGGTGGGGGGTGGGGCGAGGGGTTCTGCACTATTGTACAAACAGCATCACTGGCGGTGGCAGATGGTGGAAGGAATGAAAGGCAGATGGAAAAATCACTTCCAACATGTTTATCGTTGTCACGTTTGGTTTTGGGTGAGAGCTGGTCCCCTCGGGTTAATGAAGAACACGAAGAAAATTTGCACATACACCAAGTGCAAATTT